AAAGTTTCGTGGTATAGTGGTTCATTCACTTGACTCTCAATCCAAGGATTGAGGATTCGAATCCCAGCTCGGCTCTAATGTATCTACATTTGCCACTCTCCACTGACTAGGTGCAAATGGGAACATGGCAATCAGCGTAATAATGATTGCGGGGCCATAAGGAGAACAACATCGATGCTGCATGATTGGGGCTCCCGGATAAAGTTTTTTTTACACAACTGTTCAGCCATTTTCGCAAAAATCGAATGAAACCACCCGTGAAGAGCCTAGACTGTATTCTAAACCTGCGCATACGCTCATAGTAACCGTTAAGGTTAGTGATAGTGTTATAATAATCATGCAAACCAAGCTTTCATCTACCCATCGTTTGCTCAATCGTTAAGGATAGCGTAATGCAATCTTGGAGTTGTGAATTCGAATCTCAGTATTTATTCTGTCCTATTTTTGGACTTTATAAATAGTGAGGCAAAGCAATACCATATCTAATCCGCCTTCTTAATAATCAGCTTCTTTGAATATAATATGTTATATTTCTCAATGTTAGACCACTGAAGTGGCTTAACAGTTGTGTAAAGAAAATATGTGCTTCCCGGATAAACAAAATTATTATTATGAATTATTATTGTCAGTATTACCTTCATATTTCATCCTATCAGCTGCTTGCACGTTGATAGTCAATTTCTTCGTATCAGATAAGTTGGCACTCAACTCTTCCGTAAAACCAAAGCCATATTCCTAGCATAAAAAAGAAAGAAAACAACAACAATCACATACACACACACACGCAAAAAGCAAAAACAAATAAGAAAAAGGAAAAATAATCAATTGAATATGACTAGTCTTTAACCACGACCAAAAACACTGTGAAATCAATTTTAAAGCCCCATTGAGCATCCCCCCCCCCCCATCTGTATATAATACTATGGCGATCAGCTCATAGAATTAATAGTTTTAACAAATGCACGGTATACATGGTATACATCATCATCATACGCAACATAAATTAAATGTTATTATTATCACAATGATTACAACTACTACTACTACTACTACGACAAAGTACTTCTCCTACCACCATTACCACTACTGTTAGTGTATTATACTTATATCATTATTACTATCATCATCATTAGAACTAATAATAGTAGTAGTAGAAGTAGTAGTAGTAGTAGAAATAGTAGTAGTAGTAGTAGTAGTAACAGTGTCACTAGTAGTAGTAGTAGTAATAGTAATAGTAGTAGTAATAGTAGTAGTAGTAGTGTCAGTAGGAGTAGTAGTAGTAGTAGTAGTAATAGTAGTAGTAGTAGTGTCAGTAGGAGTAGTAGTAGTAGTAGTAGAAGTAATAGTAGTAGTAGTAGTGTCAGTAGGAGTAGTAGTAGTAGTAGTAATAGTAGTAGTAGTAGTGTCAGTAGGAGTAGTAGTAGTAGTAGTAGTAGGAGTAGTAGTAGTAGTAGTAGTAGTAGTAGTAGTAGTAGTAGTAGTAGTAATAGTAGTAGTAGTAGTGTCAGTAGGAGTAGTAGTAGTAGTAGTAGTAGTAATAATAGTAGTAGTAGTAGTGTCAGTAGGAGTAGTAGTAGTAGTAGTAGTAGTAGTAGTAATAGTAGTAGTAGTAGTGTCAGTAGGAGTAGTAATAGTAGTAGTAGTAGTAGTAATAGTAGTAGTAGTAGTAGTAGTGTCAGTAGGAGTAGCTGTATTAGTATTAGAAGTCGTAGTAGTAGTATAGAAATAATAGTAGTAGTAATATCAGTAGTATAGGTAGTAGAAGTGGTAGTAGTAGTAATAGTAGGAGTTGTTGTATTAGTAGTAGAAGTAATTTAGAAGAATGAAATTTGTAGCAACACCATCATCATCATCATTATCGTTCACCATCATCATCATCATCATCATCTTCGTCGTCGTCATCATTATTTACCGTTTCATCACCATCTACTGACTCGACAGGCTTCTCACTTTCTTCCTTTTGGCCGTCTTTAAGTTTACGGGTCATCTTGGCCTCCTCGAGGAGAGGACCCTTGAACAATACCAAAAAAAAAAAAACATATTGGCGAGGAATATAAATTTGATTGTATGGTAATGATCCTAAAACAAAATCTGACATAAAAACACAAAGTCGTAACAAATTTCGGTCGCGGAGTCCGTTCATTGGCCAACAGACGTACCGTATTTAGTTCATTTGAATCTCAAGACATTATAGACTATTTACAGTGAGTATCAAAAAGAGTACACTGTTTAAAATTATGCTCTAAAATGATACCTTCACTTCATGATTTCTCATTGAAAAATCATATAATCACAGAATTTCCATTTTTGTCTTTAGTAATATGACAACATGTAATGCAGTACAGATAATATACATGATGATCAATTTTCATAAAAGAGAGACTAAAATGCAATTTTAAACAGATTAATTGTCATGATGGGTTCCTGTCTTGAGGATGTAGAAACGTACAGTGTAATGCATGTTGATATTTTCAATTCACATCCATGTTTGGAAAAAAGCAACAACAATCAAAGCATTATCATAATAATAATAATAATCGTTATCATTATTATCTTTAATAAGTTAATTTGTCTTATCTGTCTGTAAATATTACTATGTTTAACTTATTCATTTTGTACATGTCTGTCGAGGACCGCACTGGAAATAAGTTCTCGAGCTTTTGTGCGTTATCCTGTTCAAGCTAACTTAATTTTGATCTGTTATTCTTGCATATTGGTATATGTTGGAAGCTTGGCGAACAAAAAATAAATCAATCACCAAAGTACTACATTTGTCAATATTTCCTTTCTTAATTTCTAATCACCGTGCTAAACTTTGTTTCTTGGAACGTACCTGTTACTTCTTAAAATGAATTAGACATTTAAAGAAGAAGACGTGTAAATTGTAGAATCTATTTCCGCTAAATTTAATCATTCCAGAAACTGACAGAGTTAGGCTCTGCTCAAGGCTTAATGAATAAGGGAAAAGTGTAAAATAAGAGCCTGTGTTTGAACTATTCCAGTGCAGATCGACGGGTGTGCGCTGGCTCTATTTTGAACACCCCCTCCAAACCCCGTTTAAAACATTATATTTGAGCATAAATTATAGCATCATACTTTTTTGTCGGTATATACTATAGAATATAACATGAATACACCTACTGGAGTAAAACCCTACCTTTAATCAGTAAGTGGCAATTCGTTCTCTTCTACGACAGTATCAGATCGAAGCAACGGAGCACAATAATCAAAACAACATATGACACGACCGGAGTTTAATATAGTACATGTTCTATATGTACAATGTCCTCGTCAATCACCTGCCTAAATATCATGTATGCTATGCGGATCCTACGGATATTTCCGTAACCTGCTGCGTTAATTGTTGTAAAAAGAATACTATTTTCGCACACATGCAGTGGGTCAGTTGATATCAGTAAAAATGCGCTATTGTCTAGTTGATTTGCCCTTTTAAGTGAGCACAAATAAAAATGGCGATCTCTTGCAGCCCACTTCAAAAACAAAAATTGTATTCACCGATCAAGTGCATTTACGTGGGTATTCCCCGCGAAAACAGTTACGCATTATTTATGTACACAATATGGGATCTCTATGGCGCACATTATTGCGCCATCTTTGGCCCGAGCATCACCAGGAATTAGTACTAAGTACCACTCATAGAGATATCTCTATGGTACCACTTCAAGTTCAACTCGGCGGCCATGAAATTTCTTCCTACCATGCACGGTTCACCTGGGTCGAGTGTGGCAAAAGACGGTATAGTGCCGCAGTAACAGGGATCATCCCACCACCTGATCAGATGTCCACTGACTTATTCATTAGATCAGGACCAAAAAAAGCGCAGAACAAAACAAAGTTATATATATATATATATAAATTACTGACAAGTTTATTGAAGAAAGTGAAGACGGTTTTGATTTCAGTAACAAAAATAAACAACAACATTGTTGGAGACTACCATAATATTTGAGGTCAACTATCATGCATTATGATTATGCATTATGATTCATATTTGTTAAAATGTTTATTATGATAGTTTATCAGTATAACCATAAGCAGAATTTGATAACTGGGTTCGCAAACCAAAGAGACGGTCCTCTCTTTTCACAATACGTCCTTGTTTTCACGAAGTGACGGTAGTGAGGAAAATCGTCACGCAAAGTGAATGCATTTTTCTTTCACTACCGTCACTTCGTGAAAATAACAATTTTAGGTGTAACATGTGTAGCCTACTGAGCCTCATTTGCATTTTGCACAGAAAACTCTATAGCAAACGGGACACAATAGTATTCTTATGATACCTCAAATAAACAGCGTTTCATTTGTAAAAATGAATTATATTTGGATGCATGGTGCCTTAATGTGCATTTACATAGGAAACTCTAAATTCAAAAAGTACAGAGAACCAATCGATTATAATATTGTTATGATTCTTCAACGAAACAGTGCGTCATGAAAATTTCCTTTAAATAACATTACGAACAGACAATATTCCTCACAATAGCTACATCACTAATCTGTCTCATGCTTTCTATAAATGGTTCAAACAGAATTCAGTGTGCGACCATCATTGATCAACATTCTCAAAAGATGGGGGCGACAATGTTAATAGAGTCCCGATTGAGTGAAATAAACTAAAGGCTGCATCTTCGCACGCATCATTACAATCCGATCACTTAATTTATTCATCAATTTCCCTAATATTCCTTGTTTTCCCCCCCCCCCCCCCCTTCTTTTTCATTTTTCGTCGACATACACAAAGCCGCCCTCCGAAGAGAAAAGCAAATATATTCGATCTAACACGATTTTTTTTTTACGAACAGACAATATTTCTCACAATAGCTACATCACTATTCTGTCTCATGCTTTCTATAAAGGGCTCAAACGGAATTCAGTGAGCGATCGTTACCGTTCTCAAAAATGGATGGTGCAATGTGAAAAGGGTCGTGGTTGACCCCGTTACCAAGCGAGGTCACGCGTAGACATACACAAAGCTGCCCTCCTCGATGAAATCATTTTTTATACATGTACTAATATTAGACGCTCATGCTTCACCGAACCCATTCCATTACAATTGGTGCATCGATCGCGGTACATAATCAATGGGACCATTATATAGTTCGGAGCAAAACCAAAACGTTACGCTGTTAACGCTTGTCCTTGTAAATGGTTGTGATCGGTCGATGATGATGATGTATGGATATATCTCATGCCTTGGCTTTCAGTAGGAAACATCAACATGGAGTACTAGTAATAACTACTTCCAAAGTACAAGGAACTTCTTCTAGATCTCCACCAGAGACTGCGAGAGTTATATTTCTGGGTCAAGTTTCATTCTGGCGCGAAACCAGATCAAGCGTACTTCACCATAATCATCAAGAAAACGTTTACTAAGATGTGCAATTATCACTCGATCTGTGTAAATCTGTCTAGTCTGTAACGAGCTGAAGTGTTCATTAAGTCTGAGTATCATACTCACTGACATCATGGCTTCGGGAACTCCTAAAAGTCCTCGACCAGGGAGAAAGCTAACTGTAGCTGTTAACATTCCCAAACCATCATCGGATTCCAGACTATTTCTCGAGCCATCCAAGCCAACAGGCAGGTCGCCGTCATCACCCCTTGCGAAAATTTCTTCCTTGGATGCGTCAGAGAATAACAGCGGACCTCATCCCCCACGTTCCCCTCGACCGTCCACCCCAAATTTCCATCAGGTTCGATCACCGTATGGCAGTCCGAATGAGCATGGCACTCGACCTCGTCGACATACGGTGAGTGTGGTCGAACCGACAAAGGTTGCCGTGCCGATTGTTCGTCATAAAACGTTTCCCGCATCTATCTTTCACGATGAACCCAATTTCGGTATTGACTCAATCGACGACGAAGCTGATCATGAAGCCGAAAACCCACAACCTCTGCCGGCATCGTCGTCTTTCTTTCAGCAAGCAATGCTCGATCTTAAAAGAAGACCGAGTCGGAGTTCACAGTCATCCATCGATGACGAAGAATCGACACGGTCGAAAGGGAACGCGACGCCGTCCCCGAGAGCCAGCCATCCCCTACGATCACCACCATCCATCAAGATCAGTCATATCGAAGAGAAGAATGCAAGCTACTCACTGGACATCGAGTTCAACGTTTCAAACGACGACGATGATATATTTGGATCACAGGGTGACGAAAATAAACTGAGTAGTAGCGCGCCAGACTCTTTCCTCGAGGAAACGAGAAAAAGTACAATTTTACGACTTCAACTTGCTAAAACACAGCTAAGCTTATCCGAACGTGCCCTCAATCAAACATCGTCAAAAGATCCACATAAAACTGTCATCAAGAAAAACGAAAGGACCGTCCCGAAGTCGGCTCGGAGGTCGAAGCCAGGCGTGATGTTGAGCGTGGACGTCTCTCCTCTTGGTGGCCCGCTTAGGAAGTGGAGATCGACAGAGGGATCTCTCCCAGCTCTTAGCACTGCAACTCCTTCCCGTCATCATATAAATCATTCTCCATTTCTATCGTCCCCTATGATGATGAGGAAAGGGAGTGTCCCTGCGGTGTTGTCGATGCCTCCGAAAGTGAGACCGCGATCGAGTCTGCAAGACCTACAGGCATCATTTAAAGATGGCGAACAACAAGGGTAGGAGTCATTCTGGTGTTTCTCCTCCACCGCCTCGTTCTCCTCCTCCTCCTCCTCCTCTTTATTTTTTTTCTCATTTGATAAATTATTGCAACGTTGCGCATATTTAAGTCAAACTGCTTTCAAATGTTCAAAGAATCAGCAAAAAAAATCATATATGTGCAAAGACATTAGGTATCTTGTCTCTTTTCAATGTCTGTGCATTTTGTAAATATTTTTGGGGAAGATCCAAATTATCAACAATTGGCATTATTTTGTAAAATAAATATATATCACTCGGTTTTCGTTTTTGTTCCAATCTTGAATTTCCAAAATACTTTGGATATATAATTTTCACAGCCAATTAAAATATTTGGAATAACATTTGTATAGTCATCGCCATTGGATACAAGGGACTATAATATTAATAAATTAACAACAATTACAGAATAGATTCAGACCATGTTTTAAGTGTTAAGTGTTTGATAACCGATATCATTTACAAACATCATTGATGAATTTGTTTGCCCCCCAACACAGATTATCTTTGTTGAAAAAAGCACCCATATCATTAACAAATACCATTCATGACTTTTTAGGCCCTCGAAAGTAGACTTTGACCCCGTTTTGGAGCCTTGTTCCAGACATGTGTTATGAGATATCGAAATCTAATCAGATTTTAAAATTTAAACATTGAACTTGTGGTTACGTGCCGAAGCAGAGAGCTTAAGCGAACATGCCCTGTTTACATACAATCACAGCACGATTATAAATGATCAACTGTTCATTATCATACCTCAGTTAATTAATAATTTATTTATTGAATATAAGAACATAAAGCATGTAAAAGGGGATATTGAAGTTTGTAGCGCATTCGGTATTCTACATTATTTCGCCAGTCAGCCTGATTATGATATAGTAAATAATAATAATATGATATGGCTTTGTTTTCGTGTGATACAAGAATAAATTGCTCTCGCTATAATAATATTGAACTCGTCTCCGACTCGTTCAATATTGTCATAGCTTGAGCAATATGTTCTTGTATCACACTCAAAGCCATCCAATATTATATAAGTACTACATAGCATACAGGAGAAAGTGGTCTTCAATATTGAATTTCCATTTTGAAGCGTAAAGGTCATACAAATACAATGGTTAATCATATGCATTTTGACGGATAAAGTTTGTTTCTAATATATTACATATTATTGCATATTCCTACCTTTGTCAACTCCATTTGTTTCAGCTTCGTGGATCTTATTTAAATGTCGTTATGACAACAAACCTGAGCAAATAGATTAAAATTATTTGTATTTTAGTCTCAGACCCCTCTTTATCATTTAACATCAAACAAAGCCGCCCGGAAGATTATAGCTCGACTGGACATAGTTTCTCTTTAAATGAAAAACGTTATTTCATGATTTCATGTTTTTGATAGGTCACCGAAAACGTCCAGTCTCTCTCCCAGAGCTGCTCCTTCTACCAAACGTCCCTCTTCTGCGCATGTCTTTTCCACTTCCACCTCGACATCATCGTCGAGTACATCTGAGTCTTCTCCGACGCCGACAGTGCGTACGAAACTGGAGACGACCGACCCACCTAATAAACCAACGAGCAGAGGACACCATCATCTGTCACCCATCAGCCTCAAGACGGCTAACAAGATCACTCAGTAAGTATACTATAAACTAGCTCAGAGGTTCAGTTGAAATGTTTAAGAATTTACAGGATGAGAACGTAGTTGATACAAGACTGTACCCAAGATCCTCATAGATGCACTGGTATTACATATGTTAGATATGGAGTCAAATACAAAATAGTAGAATAGGCTACTAGATGGAGAGGAGAGAATATGCTACAAGTCCCGTCCGTTCCCCCTCCCATCCCCCGATAGTTTTTTAATAGTAAGGCGATTTTCGGGCAAAAAGGCTTCACCTAGTATCGGGGCATCAAGTCGAGTTGTTTGTTCTCTCTCTCTCTCTTTCTCTCTCTCTCTCCTTTTCTCTCCCTCGCTCTCCACTTTCGTCTCTACATCAACTCACTCTCGGCTATGGTTTCCATCTGCCACCTTCCACCATCTTCCTTTTCATTTTAGCAAATGCTCTCACTTATACCCTTTTTAGTTTTCGGTTCGTCATCAACTTTCCCTCTTCATTTATTCCTTCCGTCTCCTTATTTTGAAGTCTCTCTATATATAGTTCATAGTAATAAAATAACAATGGTCTCATACAGTGGGTCTTGCTGGTTCCATTCCTTTCGAAACATTAGACCATGTGAACACCTGTTCGCATATAATGTTCCTGTTTGTGACTCCATGTGCAATGCGTCATTTGACAGCGATATCTATGTAGGGACTAGGGGTGCGAGTGTACCTCTGTGTTTTTAGGAGGGAGGGGTGGGGCGGCCTCTATAGATTTAAAGGTAGCTAGGATTAGCCTAAAACTTCATCAAGTTTCACGTTTTTTGTTTATGAATGCCCGTCTTCAGAAATCGGTTCTCATTATAAGATTACGAATGGCAAATTATTCGGCCTACTCAAAACAACACAATTGCAAAGGCTTTCAAGAAATCAACTTTGTTTTCCAAGTTATGCAGTAGGCTACAGTTTCAATAAAATTATGTTGATTTATGCGTGTAAAAGTGACCCACGCTAGAATTAACATTATAGTCATTAGTGCAGTGCACCGATGGGCGGCTCGGAAAGGAAAGTACGGGGCACCCCCTCCCTTTTCTGGCTTTAAAATGAAATGAAATTAAAGGGGGAGGCAGAAAATAGAAAGGGAGTTGGGAGGGATAAAAGTGAATGCTGCAAGGAACCTCTCCCAAACCCTTCCCTAATCTGTGGCCTTATTGATTCATCATCCACTGGAGTAGACCGGTACCCCCTCCCCTCCTCGTCACCCCCTCCCCATCTCAGAATGATCCCGATGCCTCCTCAATTGCTGGACCAACGCAAGGCGTCTGCCCCTGGCTGTATCAACATGGATATTCCAGTGTGTTTTTTTTTCATTCTTAATTTCAAATCAACATTTGCGTTATTTTTCGAGACTCCTCCTTAAAAGAAATCAAGAGGCACATGTAAAAAAAAAATGACAACGCAAGACCCCCAAGCCCTCTCCCCAAGTCCCCTAAACACCCCCCCCCCCCCCCTCCCGCCCAATATTCATGTTTATCATGTTTTAGTAGAACCGCTCGATCTTGCAAAACCACGGTGATATTCTTTTAACATGGCGAACTTGATGTCAAAGGTCGTATCCCATATAAATCCTCCGAAATTGGAAAGGACACGCAGAGCGTTACCCTTTGCAGTTGTTATGTAGACCTGTTGCATGTCATGTTGAGGCATTATGGTGATATGTCTCGCCATGATATCTCACCAGTGATATGATTTTCATCATTAGTTTAGCCTTAGCCTTAGGCTACCCGTTGTCAACCTCGACAAATCCCATAATACCTACGGCATGTGGTATTTTATATCCTAGTTGGTAGTTCATGTTCTATAAGCCTACTTCAAAAATAAAGGATTGAAACACGTCAAAAACAAATAAATACGCCGATTCATGACTTTCACATCTCTTTCACATCTATCTTAAATTTCTGACTGTGAAAAATTGGCTGAATTACAGATGCTGTAAGGCCTTACTAACTAGCAAAATATATATAAATAAGTAAATGGAAATAGATTTATGAAATGACTGAATAAAAAGAAAATCCTCTGGGTCCCTCTGGTTATCTCCACCGTGGGCAGAATACAAGTCAATCTTTCCTGCTGCCAAATTCAAAGTGTTTTTTTTCCTGACAAAATATTGTTCTCAAAATCTTGGAAGGGTAAAAACGCTGAACATCCTCTCTCTCTCTCTCTCTCTCTCTCTCTCTCTCTCTCTCTCTCTCTTATATATACATGGTAAATTCCGTCGTATAGGGGCAGGCACCCGCCCCCTTTCCCACCCCTCGCGAACTACGCCACGTGTTATTCATCATTTCATATTTATTATTATGAACCATATATGGTATACTTGAAATTTAACGTCATATCAAAATTTCAACGGAAAAAATATAATGGGGAAAATAAAACATCAGAGCTCCATCCTAACCACCTCCTAACCTTATTTCTATGAAAAATATAAAAACACATTAAGTGAAAATGAGAGATTACCAGATTATGAGTAATTAATTTATGTGTACATCTTTGGGAAGCGGCTCCGTCTGGGGGCAAAAATATCAGCACAACAAATGCACAAGAACCACAAATCAATTTCTATATAATATCTTAGGCTATTATAGGCTAATGGTTCCCAAAAAAGGACAATCAGATATTCCTTTTCAGCTCCGCTTTTGTTCATCCACGCTATTGAGAAGGGACTTTACATTGTCACGTATTGAAACGTCAAGTAACGATGCGTGGTGTATAGAGAGGACCATATACGTCATAGTGGTTTGCAGTTTCCATTTTATATTACAATGTCGTTGTTTGTATGATAAATATAAATCAATTTCATCTGATGTATTTTTATATTCGCCTTTGTGTTTTTATATTATTCTCCCTGGGCATTCAACATGTTCAATAAGCGACGTCACGTTGCTTTTCTGATTGGTATAATAGCTTTTCTCATCATGACGTCTCGTGTTTACAAAGTCTTAAACAATTCTCAACTTCAACGCCACTCCCCTCCCTCCTTTTGTGCAGACAATCCATTCTCCCCTCTCGGCCTAACTTTAAAAAAGATACTGTATAATTATGTAGACTTCATGTAAAAAAAAATGTTTTATGACAATAATCATGAATATCATAATATTGCCTTCTTCTCGAAATAAGCGGGGGGAAGGATTTGAAAAAAACTGATCAAAAGCCATTGTATGCTTAAATGTACCGGTATTTGTTAGATTTCCACATAATTGAAAGTTTTTGAGAAAAAAATATATACCACCGCTACCCCCCTCCTATTTTCTGGAGAAAAAAAAAAAAAAACTATTTTTTTTTATGGCATTTCTCCTTTCATAAAATGTATTCTTTATGTAGACTCCATGAAGAAAATATAAAAAAATTATGTCGTGAATATAATGAAATCGCCTTTTATGTAATCTTCTCGAAATAAAGTGATTGCGGAAGTCATTTCATTCAGTACCTTCAATTTGATTGTTTGATTGCTAGATTTTACGCTTTACAATTTTCGTCGATTCCCCCCTCCCCCTTTTTTTTTCTCAATCAGATTCATCACTTCAGCAGCGGCATCGTCGTCCATCTCGGGCAGCTCGGGAAGGACAAATCTCTTGCCGGACACCGTCACCCTCCCGCCGGTTCTCGACTCGTCTGGTCGACTTCGTGTTCATCGAAGACGGGACGACTCCATGCGCCTGGTGAGACAGGCAGTCAACAGCGACCACAACGAGTGGATGGACAGCAATGACAATCAGCACAGTGCCAACAGGAAAGTCAAGAGTATCTTGGGTTTCGCCGAGGTTTGAATAGTCAAGGGGAAACTAGAAGCAAATGCGGGCTCCCCCCCCCCCCCCCCCCCAAAAAAAAAAAAAGTCGTGTATCAATCAGATATGATTATTTACGTCTGTGGACCGACCTTTAACGTCACCATCCGAAAGACGTGGCTCAGTTTCGAACCTGCGTCCTCGGCAGAATCAGTTTGTAACTTCCATTGCTAGCTGGATTATATTACAGGCGCACGCCACAACGCCCAAGCATCACTGCACCGCGCTGTAATGTAATTTCGATTGCGCCATCTTTCGGCGAAGGCGTTCATCGAGCGATTTCTTGTTCCTGTACCCAATTACAGGACGCCGTCGCTGTTTTCACGAAGTGACGGTAGTGAAAAAAAATTGCATTCACTTTGCGTTACGATTTTCCTCACTACCGTCACTTCGTGAAAACAAGTTATACACAGTGCGACCCAGACAAAATGGAACCGAGAATTATCGATGTTTTATCATAACTTAGTCACATTTGTTATAAATAAAATAATGACACATGTTTGGAAGGCTGCGATCCTCCTCTTTCATTTGATGCAACTCATTATGATGCATATTTCACGCATGAGTGATTAAAATGAATTTGAAGAGAGGAAACCAAAAAGTAATTTGGCGGACGGTATCTGAATTTCAAAGAGAAAATCATATTTCTAGAAAACCGGGTTCCTGCCCTTTCATATGACACCTCAATCAGGAAAAATGAGCAAGGAATGACAAAGTTCTGCAAGTTGTTGAAAGAAGTCACTTTGCATTTCCATAATTTTATCAGACGAATTCGTTTTTCACTGGCTCCTGCCGTAGCAACAAGCAGAATTGACAAAAGACTTAACTCCTTTTAGTTGACAATCAGCCATGATTGAAGTCTTCGTCTACGGTTTCGTTTTTTTCTGGGTCGCACTGTATAGGTGGACCGTGATGAGTTCATCAATTATTGTGGTATGATTTTTGTTGCTATAGAAGCCAAAGCAAGATAGATTTATGTTCGCAAAAAAGTAAGGGTTTTTAAAAACTCTGGTGAGAGTAATAACCTGCCTTTATCACCCGATACCAATACAGTTACAGTAAAGTATCGAAGCAGATTACCCAAAGTTGCTCAGTAATATCAGAGCAGAATATGTAATCTGAAACCCAGGTGACAAAGTTGCTCTGGTAATGAACTGGAACTATTGTCACCTAGGTTAGATTTATAGAACAGTAGTGAACTGTAGGATTGAGTAATTTGTGCGCCCTGATAGTACACTGGTCTGATGAGTTTTCTTTACTCCAGACTTTACCTATTTTTAATCGCATGGGCAATGAAAATATAAATGATATAAAATAAAACGCGTGCATGCTCCTCTGTGTAAGTTGTTCATGTTGTTTAATGTTCACTTATTGATTTAGATTTTGTTGGCACTGACATAACTTTTTTTAATTCACTTTTTTAAATATTTTTAGGGGGTAGGGGCAATGCTTCATGCATGCATAAACAACGAATTAAGCAAGATCATAGCTTTAAAAGAACCTAGCGGTAAAGAGTACCAATTGATCACCAAAACAAAGGTTGTAGTGAAGTTAGGAGTTTCATTTGTTCATAGGCCGATTGTATAACATTTTAAAAGAGCTATACATTGATATTACCCCTATTTAAAGACCCTCGATTAACATAAAATCGTCTTGTGAGTAGACTATTACCTCTTACTTAAATGTTATCCAGATTACGGTAGCCACAGTAACGCACTGTTCCTCTTTATCACCTGAGTATTATAGTGTCTCTCCTTCTTTCCTCGTCCCCTTCTATTCTCTCGATCCCTCATCCCCATTCTCCTTTAATTTTCCCCTGCCCCCCCCCCCCCACCCCCCATGCACCCCTTCAGCCATTTCCCTCTCTTCGCCGTAAACCCAATCATCTTTCCCCCATCCTCTCTAAACTCGTTCTTCCGCCGGTTTGCTTGCTCATCCCTCCCCTCCTCCCCTCCTCCCCTTGCCTTACCGCTTCCCTTCTCTAGCTCTCTGTTTACCACTCTCTCCTTCTTTCTTCTCTCCCCTTTCATTCTCTCCTTCCTCATTCTCCTCCAACTTTCGTCTTCTACCTTTAATTCGCTCTTATCCGTTAATCCCAGTTTATCCAATCCTTTCCCCTAGTTCCTTCACTCCCTTTTCCCAAACCTTCATCAACTCATTCTCCAGTCGGCCTGCTTATTCCGCCACCCGCCCCCCCCCTCCTCAATCTTCCTTCCCTCCACCCCGCACACGCTCTTTCTCCCTCTCTCTTTCCCTTCACTATCCTGCGCTAGCTCTTCTTATTTTCCCTCATTTCCTAAACGCTCCACGGAGTATACGCCCTTATTCCCTATTACCCGGCCGGCCGCCCTCTTAAATCCAAAAGAATGCCCCCTTTCGCCTTCTCCCCACCTCCGCTCCCTTTTCTCCGCGTCTTATTAATGTTGGTCCCTCTCTCGATCCCCCTTTCTCCCTGCTTCCCCTCTCAAGGCGCGGATCCAGGATTTCTTAGGGGTGGGGGCCCAATTTTTTTTCTTTTTGCTCCCGGAAATTTGAAAATCGCGCCAGCCGAAAATGCGCTCAGTGGGGGGTTGGGGGGGGGGGGGTGGCGGGTAGTAGTGAGCACATTTTTTTGGGGGGAAGCCCTCTAAAATTTGCATCCCCCCCCCCTCCCCCTTGAGCGGCAGGGGGGGGGGGGGTAGGTTAAAATTAACGTGTTTTTACATTTTTATTTTCGAAGGGGGCCCCCCCCCCACCCAGATCCGCCACTGCCCCTCTCTTACCTCGCTCTCTCAGCTCCACCGTTCCTCTCGCTTTCCTCTACTTTTTGTTCCCCCTTTAACCTCCCCCACCCCCCCCCCCCCATTAATTCCACTTTTCCCCCTGCTTTCACAGAGTCTCCTCATTGTATATTATATCACCTCCCATTTCTTGGCCTTCCTCCTCTTTCAGCCTAACATCATATATCGGGCATATATCATTATTATTGTCCCACTCATTTCTAGCCCTTCCTCCATTTTCTTCCCCATTTCATCCTCTTTTTCCTCACTCAATCCATCTCCTCCCTTCTTCCCTATTCTACTCTATATACCTCTCTCTTCTACCTCCTGCTCCCGCCCTCCTTTACCCCTCCAATTCTGTTTTCCACACTCAGTCTCCTTCTCACCTCGTCCCCTTCTATTCTCTCGATCCTCCTTCCCCACCCTCTCTAAACTCATTCTATCGCCTCATTCGCCGTCTTGCTCATCGTGTTGATATAGGTGATATATTACTATATTATCCTTGTCTCCGTATGTAGAAAACAAAACCTGTTACAATACAAAATATGGGGCACCTTTCCCTCTTCACCAACCTCTCCCCGAATCAAAGAATATGTACAACTCATGGTTTGGAGGAACAAAAATTTAAATTTCCTCATAAAAGGAATCAATGTTACTGATCATGCTGAGCTTATAATGCAGTCGCTTGTCTTCACACATTCTTTATATATGAAACAGCCCCGGCAACTGAGTGGCCGGTGGCCGCCTATCACACTGCCCAAATCGCGTTCCAGAGAAGAACAAAGTCCACACAAAGAAATAAAATTCTCGACAAGAGTCAAGTGTTGAAGTGGATAGTAACTTTATTACAATTTATTACATATAATCATGAAAAGTCACATCTATGGGCTGGAAGCCCCCAACTCTGCTAAAACTTTAGCACCTCATGGCGGCAAAGGAAATGAGGTATGAAACAAAATGAGGAAGTCATCCGAAAAGTAAAAGCTTGTGCCAATTCAGGAACTGCTTCCCATTTTATACCTTCTGACACGTGTGTTGCCCCTTAATAGGGCGTGTCACTACGAGGCATTGCGTCAAATTAATCCCTGGAACCATATACACCCATATTAAAAGGAAATTTATTAATTTTGCGAACTTAACCTCCAGAGTTGAGCTCACCGGACCCACCATTACTCCTCTACAATCCATTGATGTGTATTGCATGTAGTCCACAGTCAGGAGGGTCACAAACCCCTCTACATGTACATCCACTGTCACATCTTGATTCTTGAGATGAACTCGGTAGAAGTATCCACATTGTTTTGGAGTTGCATGCTCCTTCTGGTGACTGCTCCCCCCTTCAGCTACTAGTACAGAAAAGTCCAATGGCATCCTTGTACGCAATTCCGACAAGCCGGCTGTTCATGAATAAAATATAAACTATTTTCAAATAGTATACAACTTTAGGAAGTCAAGCTGACATCATCAGTGTATTTCTTCTTCTTTTTCTTCTTGTTCTACTTCTTCTAGTAAGTAATCTTCAAAGAGTTATTCGTTTTATAAAAACATATTGTTCGTTCGACAGGAGTACATTCCTTATTTTCCATGCTTATCAGCCCAACGACAGATCCCAGATAATTATAATAATACATGGTCTTCATGGTCTGAAATGAAATTACTGTATTACCAAACATGCCTTTCATTACTAATATACTACGTTTGCGTAAAAGATCTAATTAAACATTCAGACCATTGTTTTTATGTTTAAAATCACCAATCCAAACGTTGAACTTGGGTTACTGTTGTTAACAAAATATATTGTGAAAGTGGGATTGGTTGCATGTGGTAAGGATGTGTTGCATGTTAACAATTGCAACAGAAAGTTCTCACTCTTCTATGGGGCGACTTACTTCAGACACTGTCATCTGGCCTCCGAGCTTTAGACAGCAAGGTCCTTGTCTACCATATCATTGTGAGCTTCTCATTCTACCCTTCATTTGCATGAAATACATTACATGTACAGGCACCTGTTTGTATAGAGACATAAAATAAATTCACTTTTACGGCATGTTCATGAAAGCAATGTGAAGTACTAATTATAAAGTGAACAGCAGGGTAGGGTTCTTGCAGAATTTCTAGAACTCGCAGTAAGGGTGTAATAAATATAAACTTTGAACAATACTGGTATGTAGAAAGGGATTTAGGGTAGCCCGAAATTGGGTCTGGCAATGTTTAATACATTTAGGGTTGACATTATGTTTAGCAATGGATCCAGGATTAAAGTTAAG